CCCCCCCCCGCCCCCCCCAGTCCCCCCCAGTCCCCTCCCAGTCCATCCCAGTCCCTCCCAGTCCATCCCAGTCCCTCCCAGTTCATCCCAATCCATCCCAGTATCCCCAAATCCCCATTTCCCACCATTTTCACCTAAAAAACTCCATTTCCCCCCCATTTTTCACCGGATTTTTTCCCCGTTTTTTTCCCCAAACCCCCTCCCAGTCCCTCCCAGTCCCTCCCAGTACCTCCCAGTCCATCCCAGTATCACCTGCTGCCCGCGGTTCCTGAAGTGGTGCCCGGCGTTGGCGATCACCTGCTCGTCGCTCAGGGCCCCGTACGGCTGCTCCCGGCAGCGCGTCAGCACCTCCCAGAGCGTCACCCCGAAGGCCCAGGCGTCGCTGGCCGGGCTGAACGTGCCCTGGGAACCCCAAAATCCCCAAAATCCCAAAATTTGGGAATTCCGGGAGTCAAAATTCCGGGATTTTGGGTCGAGGTTTTGGCGGTTTTTGGGGTTTTTTTGGGGTTTTTTTGGGGGGTTTTTGGCGCCTCCCAGAGCGTCACCCCGAAGGCCCAGGCGTCGCTGGCCGGGCTGAACGTGCCCTGGGAACCCCAAAATTCCCAAATCCCCAAATTCCCAAAATTCCCAAAATCCGGGAATTCCGGGAGTTCGAAATTCGGCGTTTTTGGGGTGAGATTTGGCGGTTTTTGGGGTTTGGGCGCCTCCCAGAGCTGAAGGTGCCCTGGGGTTTGGGAATTCCCGATTTTATCCCCCTGATCCCATCCCAAATCCCCAAAATCCCAATTTTTTCCCATTTTATCCCCATTTTCCCATCCAAAACCCCCCAAAATCCTATTTTTTTTCCCAAAAAATCCAATTTTTTATCATTTTTTTCCCAAAAATTCCCATTTTTCCCCCAATCCTCGCCATCAGGATGCACTCCCAGGCCATCCAGCGGATGGGGACCAGAACACCCCATCCCAAACCCCCCAAAATCCCAATTTTTTCCCAGTTTTTACCCAAAAAATCCCATTTTTCCCAAAAAATCCAATTTTTTCCCAATTTCCCCGTTTTCCTCACCATCAGGATGCACTCCCAGGCCATCCAGCGGATGGGCAGCAGCACACCCCATCCCAAACCCCCCAAAATCCCAATTTTTTCCCAGTTTTTACCCAAAAAATCCCATTTTTCCCAAAAAATCCAATTTTTTCCCAATTTCCCCGTTTTCCTCACCATCAGGATGCACTCCCAGGCCATCCAGCGGATGGGCAGCAGCACACCCCATCCCAACCCCCCCAAAATCCCAATTTTTTTCCATTTTCGCCCCCAAAAATCCAATTTTTTTCATTTTTTTCCCAAAAATCCCCAATTTTTCCCCGTTTTTTCCCAATTTCCCCGTTTTCCTCACCATCAGGATGCACTCCCAGGCCATCCAGCGGATGGGCAGCAGCACACCCCATCCCAACCCCCCCAAAATCCCAATTTTTTTCCATTTTCTCCCCCAAAAATCCAATTTTTTTCATTTTTTTCCCAAAAATCCCCAATTTTTCCCCGTTTTTTCCCAATTTCCCCATTTTCCTCACCATCAGGATGCACTCCCAGGCCATCCAGCGGATGGGCAGCAGCACACCCCATCCCAACCCCCCCAAAATCCCAATTTTTTCCCAGTTTTTACCCAAAAAATACCATTTTTCCCAAAAAATCCCATTTTTTTCCCAAAAAATCCAATTTTTTCCCAATTTCCCCGTTTTCCTCACCATCAGGATGCACTCCCAGGCCATCCAGCGGATGGGGACCAGAACACCCCATCCCAAACCCCCCAAAATCCCATTTTTTCCCCAAAAAATCCCAATTTTTTCCCAAAAAATCCCAATTTTTTCCCAAAAAATCCAATTTTTTTCATTTTTTTTTCCCGAAAATTCCCATTTTTTCCCAATTTCCCCGTTTTCCTCACCATCAGGATGCACTCCCAGGCCATCCAGCGGATGGGGACCAGAACACCCCATCCAAAACCCCCCAAAATCCCAATTTTTTTCCATTTTTTTCCCAAAAAATCCAATTTTTTTCATTTTTTTTTCCCGAAAATTCCCATTTTTTCCCAATTTCCCCGTTTTCCTCACCATCAGGATGCACTCCCAGGCCATCCAGCGGATGGGCAGCAGCGCCCGGCCCCTCACCCGGTAATAATCGGCGGCGTAGAGGTTCCGGCTCATGCCAAAATCCGCCACCTTGACGGTGAATCCGTCGCCCACCAGGCAATTCCGGGTGGCCAAATCCCGGTGCACGAAGTTCAGCCCGGCCAGGAATCGCATCCCGGAGGCGATTTGTGCTCCCAGCCGGAGCAGCGTGGGGAGGCTGGAATTTTAACGGGTTGAGATTCGAATTTTTTTTTTTTTTTGGCCCAAAATGTTTTTTTTTTGGTTTTATTTTTTTAATTTTTTTTTTTGGCGAAATTTTTTTTTTTTGGTGGGTTTTTTTTGGGTGTTTTTATGAAAAAATCCCGATTTTTTTTTCTGTGTTTATTTGTGGTTTTGAACGGAAAAATCAATTTTTTTTTTCTTTAAAAAATACCATTTTCTAAAAAAATTCCCTTTTTTTTCTATGCTTATTCGTATTTTTTCCCCCAAAAAAAACCCCTTTTTTCATAAAAAAAATCTTTTTTCTTAAAAAAATCCCATTTTCCCAAAAATATTCCCTTTTTTTCCTACACTTATTCATCTTTTTTCCCCAAAAAATCCC